CAGTCTTTCATAATACCAGCATTGATTAAAAGTCTGAAGTTCAAAGTCTCTTCTGACATTCAAGTCATCAATCTCTTAATTGTAAACCCTTGTAAAATTGAAAAGAAAATTACATGCTTTTAACATATACTGGCATAAAATATACATTACTATTCCCACAAAGAGGAATGGGTGCACAGTGAAAAAATACTTGACCAAGGCAATATGGAATTTGCAGGACAAATCCCTGTAGCTCCATATCCAGTGTCAAAAGGCTTAGATGGCTCCACCCTTCTAGCTTACTGCCTGCAACAAACACTCTTGGGGTTGGTTCTGCTCCCTGTCTGCAGCTCTCTTTGGCAAATATCCCCATGACTCTGGCATCTCTAATTTCTTGGGTCTTTAAGGCAATCCGGCCTCTGCTTTCACAGCTTCATGTAGGAACCTTTCAGGGCCTCCATGCAGGGATTTCCCTGCCATATGCCTGGCCTTAACCATGGAGGAAGATTCTACAACACACTGTGTATCTCTCATGTCTCTAAAGCCAGAAGCATGTAGACAATGCTGCCAAGTTTGACTGCCTGCTTGGGTGCAGCCTGGCCCTCTTAAATCACATTTGTAACGTTTTCCCTTTGTCGTTGATTTTTAAAAGCAGAAACATTCTTTAGACCCTTTCTTTATACGAGTTGAAAGCTGAACTGGATGACATCTTGTCTTGAGGACACCCCTCCCTTTATTCCAATACAGATCAGGCCTCTCTTAGCCCCCTTGTCTGCAAGCCTTGGCTGCAACATTAAGATTTGTGGTGCTCTTTTTCTTAATTAAACTGTATCTTATTGTCTGACCTGCTCTTTTTCATGGTAAATCTGCATAGGAGTGATTAATAACAACCATCTGAGAGTCAATAGTAGGGTATCTTGAGACCTCCTCCACCAAGGAAATTAGTATATTACTCAGGCAAGTTCTTAGGATAAAACCAGACAGTCATATTCTTTGCCAGTATATCACAAGAATGATCTCTGGCCCAACTGCGAATATAGCTCTCCTTTGAAATTCTTTGAGCTGGACTTCTGTGACTCTTAGTGTGTATGACTCTCAGAACTGCTATTTTCTAAGCTCCTACCAGGATGGCCCATTAAGCTCTGCTTACCATTGTCAACCACTTTTCTAATTCAAAGTCCTAACGTTTTCTGTATTTCTCTATGAAACAGCATGGCCACAATATCCCACTCCTGTTACCAACTTCTATATTAGTTATTTTTCTATTGTTATGATAAAGCTTTATGACCAAGGCAATTTATAAAAGAAAGAGTTTATTGGGGTTATGAGTCCAGGTTCTAGAGGGCTAGAATCGGTGATGGTGGAGCAGAGTAGCAGGGACAGGATTAGATGCTGACAACAGCAGCCCACGGCTCATTGCTTGAACCTCAAGCACAAGACAGAAAACTGGGAACATTGTAAGTCTTTAAACTCAAGAATCTCACCTCTTGTGATATGCATCACCCAACAACACCACATCTCCTAAGCTTCACCAAACAGTTCCACCACCTGGGGACCTAGTATTCGAATGCCTGAGACCATGGGGATATCTCATTCAAACCTCCACAGCTTGTCTACTTCCAAATACATGATAAGTTTTAAAAGCTTATAGAATAGTCAACTCCCTTATCTGTGGGGAATGCTTCAAGACCCTTCCTGGCTGCCTGAAGAAACAGGACACTCTGTGTGTACATTCTATGGCTTCTAGTCAGTGTATTGGAGTTTCTAGGCTTATAATTCTTGCCCTTGAGGCCTTTACTAAGGTAAACAAGTGGCAATGCTTGCACTGAAATACTGTGACTGTGGATCTAATATCTGTGATAGCAATGTCACTGATGGGTGGAAAGCACAGCCATGTGGACACACCAGACAAGAGATGCTTCATGTACTTACCAGGAAGAGTGGAGTGGTATGAAATCACACAACATGAGGTGGGGCACAATTTAAAAGTCGGGAACTGATTATTTCTGAGAATTTCTACTGAATATTTTTAGATAAATGATTGTTGGCAAAAAAGTGGAGCCACAGATAAAGGAGGACCACTGTGCCTTACGGATGTGTGGCCTGGGCAGCATGGGGCCAATTGGGCCTACGATGAAAGGTCACGGAGGATGGACTCTGTCTGTGGGAGTCCACAGCATCCCTGCACCATCACCTTCAGTCATGGTGCAGGACAGCACTGTTTTACTCCTGGAGCCCTGCAGATGTGGGACCATCCATAGGTGGTGTCTTCAGCTCTGCACGGCTCCCTGCAGCTCAGGGCACTGCTCAGCTCCTTTTTGCTTCTTCTCCAGCCATGCCCTGTTGTCTGTGCGCAGCCTGGACTCTGCAAGAAAACCAGCTTGCCAGCAACCCCTTTGTACAGACATGGGGTGATCAGTTTTAAAGGCACTCAGGGCATTTGTTCTATTTACTACCAGCAAATAATTCACTTGGCGACAGGAAAGATGGTGTTAACAGTGGGCAGCTCAAATAGCATATACTCTTATGTTGTCTTTACTTGTTCTACTTTTTTAAAAAAGTTGTCTTCCATTTTTAAATGAATAGTAATCTACAACAGAAAAAAATGTTTTTTCATCATAGGGCCTTGCTCTGTAGCCATGCTGGCCTTGAACTTGAGGAAAACTTGCTATCCTAGCCTTCCCTATGCTGGGATTACAGGTGTGAGCCACCACACCCAGAGACAGAAAATTCTGAAAAAATAAAATACTTTTCACACACTTCACTGATAGAACCATGGTTACACCCTGAGTATATTTTTCTCCAGTCTGTTTTGGTATGATTATTTCTTTATGGTTATAATAAAAGCATGTGTATAATTGTGTTTTTCCTTTTTTAATTTAGCTGTAGATAATTATGATATAATCATATACATGCTGTACTATCAACATAATGGTAATTTTTACTGCATCGGATTTCATTATTTTGATCTATCACTGTTGAATGCTATTAACCTATTTTTGTTAGATTTCTTCTCCCATTTTAGCGAGTAGAACATTTCTGAATACGGTAGAACTTTCCATCCACTGTCTTTTTTAGTCACCATGTTGCTCTGAGTTTTTTAGGAGTTCAATATTAACAAACGTCAAGAATGTGATAAGTATATGTTGTTAGAGTCCCATCAGAAGTCTAGCCAGTGTAGAGCCATGTGAGCCGGAGGCATGTGCTAGTGTAGACTGTGAGCCGGAGGCATGTGCTAGTGTAGACTGTGAGCCGGAGGCATGTGCTAGTGTAGACTGTGTGAGCCAGAGGCATGTGCTAGTGTAGACTGTGAGCCGGAGGCATGTGCTAGTGTAGACTGTGAGCCAGAGGCATGTGCTAGTGTAGACTGTGTGAGCCAGAGGCATGTGCTAGTGTAGACTGTGTGAGCCAGAGGCATGTGCTAGTGTAGACTGTGTGAGCC